TGAGGATTACCATGATATATAGTGTTATGTTTGTTAAAACTGTGCCTTGGAAAATTACAGCTTCCAAGTGTGTAAGCCCACCAAGTTTTATGACTTTCCCAGTTTTCTCAGCCTCTGATTATGGAGGCCACATAGCAACTTTTATTGTTAGTCTGTCTGGTGGGGACAGGGGAACTGCTGCCAGCCACAAGATCTGTAAGGACAACAGCAGATAATGCAGCAGAGAGTTTGTGGGGTCAGCTGTGATTTTATCTGCTGATCTCCCTTAGGCTCTGTAGGTTAGGTTACTTTTACTGTGGGATGTATCCTTCTGGTGACTGTGATAGGCTGAAACTACTGCCCTCACCCGGAAAGAGATATCAAGGCCCTGATCCTGGAAACTGGTGAATATTGCTCTGTATAGCAAAAGCTAGATGTGCTTGCTTAGCATGTGCAAGGCCCTGGGATCAGTTTCCAACCCTGGAGGACAAAGAATTTTGTAGATGTGATTAAATGAATCTTCAGATGGTGGGGTCATTCCTGGATTATCCCAGTAGGTCTTAGTGCTGTCATAGCATGTACCCTTGTAGGGAGGAGGCAGGGGAGATTTCATAGAGACTGAAAAAGGGGGTCAGTGAGTTATGGAGGCGGAGCCTGGAGTGATGTGGCCTCAGTCACCAGCAGCTGGAGGAGGAGGCTAGGAGCAGATTGTCCTCTAGAAGAGGCATGTGGCCCTGTTACCACCTCGCTTTTGGCCCAGTGATACTGATTTTGGATTTCTGGACTCTGGCTTGTATGAAAAGTAAATTTTTGTTTCCTTGTTTTTCTCTCTCGTTTTCCTTTATTTGTAGTCCTGGGGGTTGAGACCAGGGCCTTGCATACATTAGGAAAGTGCTCTAGCACTCTAGCTCTGTCTTATAAGCTGCCAAATGTGAAATTTGTGGTAATTTTTTTTCTAGTAGCCTCAGGAAACTAACATATTTTGATTTCTAGTTTCTGGCTGTCTGGCTATTGCCCTAGAAACCAGTGGCCTGAGGGGCTTGTGATAGTAGAGACATTTTGGCACTGTGATACTATGGATTCTGAAGGTCACTTTTTTTTTTTTTGAACCTCTGGACTTTTATTAATTGGTACATTTAAGGTATACAATATAATGACATTCATCATTGGAAATTTGCACCTTTACATAATCTGTCTTGATTCTTATTTTTCTGAAGGTCACTTTTTAGGACTTGTAGGTTCTGAGGGGTGGAGGAATTCTTTTTTCCTAGCTCTCCTATGAAGGCTTCCTTGACAGAGCTGTGGGGCAGGGATAAAGACACAGGGGACCTGGGGGCTATAGTTTTACTCAGGAGTTCTGTATTGCCACCCCAAAACAGGCAATTATAGGGTATATAGAGCTTTTTTCTTTATCACCTTTCTCCTCTCTTCCCCTCCCTTCCTCTCCATTACAGAGAATCAACTCTTTAAACCAGGGGTTGGCAAACTTTTTCTGTAAAGGGCCAGATAGTGAATACTTTAGGTTTACAGAGACATAATCTCTGTCATTACTGCTCAGCTTTACCATTAGCATGAAAACAGCTATAAGCTGGGTGTGGTGGTGCACATCTGTAATTCCAGCACCTGGGAGGCTGAGGCAGGTGGACTGCTTCCAGGTCGAGGCCAGTCTGGGCTACATAGTGAGTTTAAGGCCAGCCTGAGGGCCGGGGATTTATCTCAGTGTTTCTGCTGCCTGCCTTGCAAGTGCAAGGACCCGAGTTCAATCCCTTGTACCCCCTAAAAAAAAAAAGGCCAGCCTGAACTACATAGTGAGACCCTATCTCAGAGAACCAAAGCAGCAACAACCAAACAAGAAACAGACATAAACAAGGTTTAAATGTGTGAGGGTGGCTGTGTTCCAATAAAACTTTATTTATGGCCACTGAAATGTGAATTTTATGTATTGTCACATGTCATGAGATGTAATTCTGTTTTTTTCTCTCCCCAACCATTAAAACATTTTTTTTTTTTTTTTTAAGGCCAGGGATTTAGCTCAGTGGCACTGCACCTGCCTGGCAAGAGCAAGGTCCTGAGTTTGATCCCCGGTACCCCCCCCAAAATTTTTTTTTAAATTCTTAGCTTGTACGTCCTATTGGGAGGTAGGCAGCAGGCGGGATTTAGATTGCAGCTATAGTTTATTGAATGCTCCTACAAACAGATTCCTAGACAAAGCCTCTGGATCAGTTTTCCAAGCCTGGTGTTTCAGAGGATAGTAGACCCAAGGAAAAGGGAAAAGTGTTCTAATACAGCATGCCCTGAAAGATCATCATAGCAGATCACAGTGGGCCCAAGACTGTGTGAGCAAAGGACACAGGTCACAGAGCAGGCTTTTTTTTTTTCCACCTTGGTACCAGGGGTCAAACTCAGGACCTTGTGTTTGTGAGGCAGGCACAGTGCCACTGAGCTAAATCCCTGGCCCTAGTGCAGGCTTTTTTACACATATGGAAAAATGTTCCACATTCTTCCAGACGATGCTGTCCACCATCCCGCCTTCCCTCTTTTCCTTCTTCCCTTCCTTTCTTCCTTCTTATGGTAATGATGACTGAACACCCAGGAGTGCTCTACTACTGTAGGGAGCTGTAGCCCCAGCCAGTTGTATTGTATTGTATTGTATTGTATTGTATGATAGGGTCTTGCCATGTTGCCCACGCAGGCCTTGAATTTATGATTCTCCTACCTCAGCCTCCTGAGAAGCTGGGATTACAGACATGTCCCACCATACCCAGTAAGATAGTACTTTTTAGCTGTCTGAGTGGCAGTACTCTCCAAATTCAGTAATACTTTACATTGGGGAGGCTGTGGGAAATAGACATTGCCATATGTTGCTGGTGGGAGGGTAATTTAGTATAACCTCTGTGGGGGTAGTTTGGCAAGATTTATCAAAATCTTTGCCTTTGATCTAGTACAGAATTCCAAATATGAGATCCTACAGATATATTTGTACAAGTATGAAATAATATATAAATAAGAATATTCATTGCACCATTGTTTTTGGCATTGGAGATTGAAAACTACCTAACTGTCCATCAAGTGAACTGGTTAAATACATCACAGTACAAAAATTCAGTGGAGTTAACTGTGTTAATGTATGTGTAAAAAATGAGGAGGATCTGTTTGCACTGGTAGGGAATGATCTCTGGGATGCATCAACTGACAAAAAGCATGACAGTGCAGTATGCTGCTGTTTGTATAAAAAGGGGTGAATACGCGCACGCGCACGCACGCGCGCACACACACACACGTTTTTGTGTTGTGCATAAACTAGCTCTGGAAGGATTCATAAAAATGTGGCGTTTGTTGCCCCTCCCCAGAAGGAACTAAGTGGTCAGGAAATAGGATGAGACTGAGACTGACTAATTGACAAACCCACCTTCCTTCCTTCCGTCCTTTCCTTCTTTTCTTTCCTTCCTTTTTTCCTTTTCTTTCCTTTCCTTTCCAGAACTGGGATTGAACTCAGGGACTTGGCACTGTGCTACATAGCCAAATATTTATTTTATTTTTTTGTCAAGTTACCCAGGCTGGGCTTGAACTTGGCATTCCTCCTGCCTCAACCTCCCAGAGTGTTTCTTTTGTATTACCTTTATAGATTTTTTTATATTTCTAGATATGAACTATGTGAATGAATACCTATTTGAAAAGTAAATAAACATTAATAAAATAAACAAAGTTAATCTTTATGGCCCTGCAAAGCCCTATAACAAGGAGACTTGGTTAATGGTATTGCCTCATTTCCCAGAATAATGTCCAGGGCAACTTGGGTTCTGTGTAATTCTTCGCTGTGACTTTTGCATCTCTCCATTAGACTTCTGATGTTTGGGTCTAGGTACTAAAGAATTGGTGGAAAAAATGAATGATGGTATATTAATGATAATTGAGAATTTAAAAGATTTAAATTCATTACAGTTCCCTTTGAATCATCTCTCACTGCAGGTCAGGGCTCCCTAACTAGTGTGCTGAGACCTGATTCCTCAGCCTTACAGAGTGCATGGCAAGGGCCAGGGTGGCCAGGGCCCCAAGATATGGCTTCTGTTTCAGAAGTCCTGTTCCTTGCCTCCTTCCTGTGTGCTGTGTAAGTAGGCATTATCTCCCGTGTGTGCAGTGAGGTGCACAGGTTGGTAAATATAGCTGTAGGCAAATATGGTCTTAGGTTTAAAAAATATATGCTGCATACAAATAATTACAGAAAAGGAAGTAGTTGTGGTCCTTGGGGCTGGGGATTTAGCTCAGTGGTTTCATCACCTGCTGCGCAAGCGCGAGGACCCTAGTTTGATCCCTGGTACCGGAAAAAAAAAAAAGTAGTTGTGATCTTTGGGAAGAGCCTGATGGGGGTTTGCTCCAGTGTTGGGGATCCTCAGCTTTCTTTCCACTCTGGGCTCGAGGAGCAGGAGGGTAAGACCCGAGCTCTGCTCGCTGAGGACTTGTGCAGTGCCCAGAAAGCTCCCTCAGCTCCAGTCTCTCCCAACCAGCCTTGGAAAAGGAAGGAAGAGTCACATCCTAGGAAATTGTCTTGCACTTGTTCTAATTTACAAAGAATACATTATCGAAATGAGCACGTCCACTGTGTGCAGGAACAAAGTCCTCTGACCCACTTCATAACTAATACTACAGTTGAGAGCCGCTGTCCTCCAGGAGTTCGTGAAATTTCACTTTGTGGCTAGCTCAGTTGAAGTTAATTTCAAACCACCAAATAAGAGAGAATTTTTTCGAAGTATTAGTGACAATTTAAAAAAATAATCATTTTAATGGTGTTAGCTGTAGTATATTATAAATAAGAACTTTATCAAGTTCAGTTCTCATCTGAACTATAGTATTTGCTGTTCTGTTGTGTCATGGTGGGTCTAATGATGTTGGTAATGGTGTCTGTTCTTTGTGTTTTCTGGAAAAGTACTGAATTAGTATGTCAGTGTAGTACTATGTGAAGAAATCTAAGAGCTATTAAAATGCTTAAAAAATGATCAATTCTTCTTTTGTTCTCTTGACAGGATAATTGAAGCTGTCTGCATAGGTTGGTTCACTGCAGAGTGCATTGTGAGGTTCATCGTCTCCAAAAACAAGTGTGAGTTTGTCAAGAGACCCCTGAACATCATTGATTTACTGGCAATCACGCCATATTACATCTCCGTGCTAATGACAGTATTTACAGGCGAGAACTCCCAACTGCAGCGGGCCGGAGTCACCTTGAGGGTGCTCAGGATGATGAGGATTTTTTGGGTGATTAAGCTTGCCCGTCATTTCATTGGTCTTCAGACACTTGGTTTGACTCTCAAACGATGTTACCGAGAGATGGTTATGTTACTCGTCTTCATTTGTGTTGCCATGGCAATCTTTAGTGCACTTTCTCAGCTTCTTGAACATGGGTTGGACCTGGAAACATCCAACAAGGACTTCGCCAGCATCCCCGCTGCCTGCTGGTGGGTGATTATCTCTATGACTACAGTTGGCTATGGAGATATGTATCCTATCACAGTGCCTGGAAGGATTCTTGGAGGAGTTTGTGTTGTCAGTGGCATTGTTCTGTTGGCATTACCTATAACTTTCATCTACCATAGCTTCGTGCAGTGTTACCATGAGCTCAAGTTTAGATCAGCCAGATACAGTAGAACCCTCTCTGCTGAGTTCCTGAATTAATGCATTGCAAATCAATTCTTGCAGACAATTTGTTTGAGATAAAGAGTTGCTGCTACTTCATATTCATGTATTTCTTGTTGGGTGAGCACTACAGAGGCATTGTCATCATCTTGGTAGAGTAAAAATTACCCTTCCCAGCTGAAGGGGTAAAACAGTTCATTTATTTTGGAGTAAATAGGAATGGAGACTGCAAAGGAAGAGTAACAACTCCTAGAGGAAGCTTTAGGATCTAATTTTATTTAGACCGGTCTCTTCCTTGCCTTGAACAATTACATATTTCTGTTTTTTTTAAAGTACATTATTTGAACACTTTAAAACAGAATGATTCTATTTTCCAAATGTTTTCCATCTTAATGAATTCAGAAGAAGCTTGGAACTTCAGTGTTATTTTTGAGACTCACATTTTCATTTCTAAATGTTTTATAATTTCTCGTATCAATGTCAGAAGTATTCTGGAAACATATGTCACATGCAAGAACTGTTTAACAAATACTTTAAAAGTTTGGCCAAAATTTAAACTGCATAACAGAGCTAGATACAAGTGAGAATGTCACTTGAAAAAACTTTCCCATACCTCTCTATCCTCTGCTCTATTTTTGTGCCTATTATTCACCTTGCCACATAGCTTCATGGAGGCCTGGGTACATTCTCTTGCTTCCATTTTGGATTTCTTTTATCTCTTTACTGAAACAACTTCAAAAAAGTATTTAAGAGTGAAGAGAGCTTGTATTGTTTAGCATTGTGTTAGATAATATTATAATTCACTGCTGTTACTAGGTGATAATCATCCTAATATTCAGATGTCCAAACAAGAATATTTCCAACATGAAAATAACAAATAGGTTGATAGTATCAGTATTTCAACCCATATTTCTTCTTCTGCTTTTAACTTTCCTCCAAACTCCATGAATTTAGTAAGTCTTACCAGATGAAAGGATATTTCTATAGTCTTTTTTTTTCTTTAGCCTTTTGATACCAAAGTCATACTTACGTGTTGTCACTGAATTATCATTAAAAAGGAAATGTTATTGTACTCTTACTTACTCTGTAGCTAAGTCAATTTTAAGCCAGCCAAAAGCAATGAATACATAATTATTTGATCTGATCTTCACTATTGTGAATCACAGCTACACTAAAACTCTTCTTGTGAGAATATTGAGTAATATGCTATATTAATCTGGCTAGATTATTAGTACTAGATAATGTACAAGTGATTTTTCAGTGCTAAATTTTAGCAATATGAATTAGAATTTTGCTTTTTTGACCAATTGGTGTAGAGAAGTCATATATAAAAATAAAAAATTAAAGTCACAGATTCAGGAATAATTTAGTGTGCACACTGCATATTTACTAGAGATGTGTTGGGGGATGGTGGACAGGACAGAAGACTTGGATGTGTTTGTCAAAGAGAGGGTCACCAAGATGTTTATTAAAGGAACATCAGCCATCAGCTAGTTCATACATGGGTAGAAGAACAGGGCAGGAGAGGGTACAGTAGTGAAGGAGTAGGGACTGAAGCTTCTGCCTTCAGAAACACGCCAGCGGTTTATTCTTTATACCTCTCTGGGTTTTGACAAAAGCCTTGAATAGCCACATTTCTTTGTCATTGTCATTGCTAAGGTAGTAACAGCAAAACTATTTCCTCTGCCCTAATTTTCTATTCTGAGCTTATGTGATATTTTAACCATTAAAAACCTCACCTCATCTTCTCCAGTACTTCTCACTACTATGTTCTTTTTTACATACTCAAATTCTGTTATTTATTGTATATTTATTATATTTTAATATAACTGAAATCCATGGCATGGATTTATTTATTTTTACCTATTTGAGTTAAGGCTTTGTGAATCATGCAAATAAAGATGGAAATGATAGCACATCAGGAATCCTTCATGTATATTACCTCCCCAAGTAAATGGTCAGTATAGAGAGCTGGGACATTGTCTCACACAGCACTTCCGAACCTCATGATGGCTGTTGCACACTTGATAAACTGCTGACTGGTGTGGGAAGAGGCAAGGAGATGCATAGGCCTGTACATTGTGCAGATGCATGCATTAGGTAGCAAGTGAGAACTCGCTTACCACTGACGTCAGCCTTTTCACAGGCTCATTTTCATTAAAAAAAATCATGCTAGATAAATGTTAATGGCAGTTTAGCCACCCATTTATAAAGGAGAAGGCTGAGACATGATAGTGTTTCATTCATAAATGGAAAAATATATGTCAGAATTTTGTTTTTCATGGATGATGCAGCTTTCTAGGGACAGAGACATTTTCTTATGAAATGTTCCTCTCTTGTGAAATGTAACATTTCCCAGAATGTTACTGCTTTAAAAAAAAAAATTCAGCAGCATTTTTTTCTTAGTTGTCCTTTTAGGGGTTTCTTATTCAGTCTTCATGGCAGAAATACTTAGATCAAGATCTATATCAGTACCAGTAAGTCAGATACTATCCTTAAGTAGAATACCCAAAGAGGAAAGAAGCAGCCCAAATCTTTATTTTAATTTTACCATACCTGAGCACACATGATTTGATCTTATATATAACTTGATTTATATTCTCTAAAATGGAATTTTTGGAGATTAGAAAAACAAAATCAGGGAATATGTATGAATGTAAACACATGTAACAATTCAAAACCCTATTCTTTTACTACTGTGTTGTAATTGCAGGTTGCTGGTTGAAATTTATGGCATTTGTTCTCTACATTGATAAACTTACCAATCAATTCTTCCTTCCTTTTTGTTTTTGAAGGACTGAGGTTTGAACCCAGGCCTTCATTCTGAGCTCTGAGCTATATCCTCAGTGCACATGTGCCCCCCCTGCCCCCTTTTATTTTTTGAGACAGGGTTTTATTAAGTTGCTGAGATGCCCAGGTTGGGCTCAAATTTGTAATCCTCCTTCCTCAGCCTTCATAGTGCTGGAATTATAGGCATGTACTTCCATGCCTGCCTATACATTCTTTCCTTTTTTTGGTTTTTTGAGGCAGGGTCTCCCTTTGTAGTTAGGCTGGCCCTGAACTCACTGTGTAGCCCAGGCTGTCCTCGAACTCACAGCAATCCCTCCTGCCTCAGCCTCTGAAGTTCTGGGATTATAGGCGTATGCCACCATGCCCATTATATATTCTTTCTTAAAAGTGTTAAAATATATTCTTTCATAGTGACAGTAAGTCAAAATAATACTTCCTTTTTTAAACTTTTTTGCAAATAACTTCCCTGGGTCTCCTATGATCAGGTAGAGGAGGAGATGGGATTAGGTTGAATGTTGGTGTCTGAAGAATTTTTTTTTCTATTGGCTTGCTATTTCCTAGAAACAGCTTGTTTTTCCTTTTGAGACAGGGTCTCATTTTGTAGTTCAGGCTGGCCTTGAACTCACAGCAGTCCTCTTACCTCAGCCTCCCAAGTGCTGGGATTACAGGAATGTGCCACCATGCCCAATCCCTTCTTTTCTATAGAGATGAAAATAAGAACCCCTAGTTCTGTTTTACTATTAAGCTTTGTAACTTCAAATTTATTGGATAGCTTCACAGAATATTCCAGAGTTCTCTGACCCTACATAAATGTACATCTTTTATAGTATGCAGTAAACAATCTAATAAAACAATCAGACTTGTTCTAAATATATTAATAGGCATAGGGTGTTGGAGCTCACCTGGGATCCCAGAGGCCTTTTGTTTTACCTCACTCTTTTTTTGCATCTAGGTCTTAGCAGTTATTGACATTTGCTTCCACTGGGTTATAATTTAGGCATGGTCGTGCTGGTGTCTAGTTAGGCCTCAGAAACCTGATTTCCAGACTTTGGGTTCAGTACTCCTTTTTTATTTGGGACTTATAACCGCCCCCGCCCCCCCCCTTCCCCGTTTAGTTTTAAATAAAAAACAAATATTGTTTGTAGAAGCCATAGATGTCAGGAAAGACTTGGAACCAGTGCAGTACATAGGGAATGCAGATTTTGGATTGAATTTTTCTTTTCTCTCAGTGCTCCTTCCACGACCCCCAGTGCTGGGGATCAACCAAGGGCCTCTTGCATGATAGGCAAGTGCCACTGAGCTACCTCACCAGCTCCTTAATAGAATTTAAAATATTAGTGGTGTACCCATTCATGTATATATAAATAAGGACAGGTATCTCATAGTTATCACTACATTATTTAGAAGAGCCAGGCTGAGAATACCATAGCCGAGTAGACAGTAACATGGGTTGAAGCTTTAATGGAATATTCTGGGAAAGTTCCAGTTTGGTCAGGGGTGTGTTCATATGGTGTTTTGCTTCCTGTATTCCAGAACCCATCTGCACTCAGAATGGGCACCAGCTCTGCCTCTGAGAGTTAACTAAGGGTTTACTGCTCGTTTGCCTCCATAGACTTGTGACACATCATCCAAGAGCACAATTCTATTGCCCCATTCTGTGATTTAACTTACGGTTAAACTTTCAGATTTTCTACCTCTCCCCAACATTTCCAATAAGCACGTAAAACTTTTGACCGTTAGTATAAACTTTTTTGGAGGGGGTGGTACCGGGGATCGAACTCAGGTCCTTGCACTTGCAAGACAGGCAACAGAACTACTGAGCTAAATCCCCTGCCCAAAGCATTAATAATGTTTAGTAGGTAAAAGCTAGAGAGAATATTATTTGGCTTTCATTTACCTGGGGTAAGTGATTTAATGTCACTTGTATCTAAAGTGGTACTCTTCTATACTTATTTATGTAGCAGTATATTAAAACTAAAACTCGTAATTTTGAATTAGGTAGATTCCCTCCTTTCTCCCTCCCATTTATTTCTATTATTTTCAAATTAATTATGTAATTTTGCCCATGACATAGTGAAGGCTATTTGTAGGGAGTGTTGTTGAACTGTTTGTTTAAGAAAGGAAGCAAAAATAATGACAGGTGAATTTGGCTGTATCAATATACAGTGATTTATTGAACAAACGTACTGCTTTTTGTCTGTATCTTACACAGCTTGATATTGTAACTGATAAAATTCCATGGTTTCCTTCTCTTCAATACATATGACGGGAAAATTTTACTTCCTTAGTGAGATGAAATATGTTTAAATTACAAATCCTGAACTCTTTTTTTTTTTTTGGTACCGGGGATTGAACTTGGGTCCTTGTGCTTGCGCAGCAGGCGGTGAAAGCATTGAGCTAAATCCCCAGCTGGACTTGTAATTCTTTCCAGTGACCTATATGTCTGTTTTTATGTCAGAATCACAGAGAAGACTAGCTTTATATTAAGTTTGGAAATCAGCAAGTGTGAGTATCTCTTTATTCAAGACTGTTTTGGCTATTCTTATTCTCTTGTGTTTCCATATGAAATTTAGGATCAACCTGTGCTTTTTTCTTTATAAAAGGCGGGTGGCATCAGATAGGGATTGCATTGAATTTGTAAATCAACTACGAGTGTTGCCATTCTAGCAATCCTTGTTTTCCAGTCCATGGTCTGGGATGTCTTTGCATTTACTTAAATCTTCTTTCATTTCTTTCGTTTTTTTTTTTTTTTTTTCTTTTTGGTACCGGAGATTGAACTTGGGACCTTGCGCTTGCGAGGCAGGCGCCGGAACCACTGAGCTAAATCCCCGGCCCTTCTTTCATTTCTTTCAACAATGTTTTGTAGTTTTCAGTGTGCAAGTGTTTTGCTCTTCTTTGGTTTAATTTATTCCTAGGTGTTTTATTCTTTTTGATATTGTAGATTGAATTATTTTCTTAATTTCATTTTCAAGTTATTCATTGCTAGGGTTTAGAAATATAGCTGATTTGTGTATAATGATAGATATGATTGTGTCATCTGCAGTGAGGTAGTTTTACCCTTTTCTTTCCAATCTGGATATTTATTAGTTCTCTCTTGCCTTATAATTCTGGTTTGGACTTCTACTACAATGCCAAATAGAAGTGTTAAGAGTGGACATCCTGGTCTTATTCCTGATTATTAAGGGGAAAGCACCTAGTCTTTCACCATTAAGTATGATGTGAACTGTGGGTTTTTCCATAGATGCCCTTTGTCAGGTTGAGGAAGTTTCCTTCTATTCCCAGTTCGTGGAGTGCTTTTTTTTTTTTTTTGGTGACAGGGTGTTAGATTCTAACAATGTCTTTTAATGAACAGATGGAAAGATTTTGTTCCTGTCAGCGTCAGGAAATGCATCTTGTTGAGGCGAGTTTCTAAATCTCCACAAGACACACTAATCAAGTTGAAGCCATAGAAGCTCTTGCTGATGGTTTTAAAACGTACTTTAATTGATACACATTTCATAGTTTCTAAGTCTGTTAAGCTGGTTCTCTTCATTAACCTAAGTTAATTTGAGTTTGTATTCACTTGCCTAAAGATACAGACTCAGACATAAGAGATAGAAGATAATTTGTTTCTGTTGCTTGGTTTATTTTAATGCCTTCTTATAACTTGAGCTTGGGCTTTTTTTTTGTTTTTTGAGTTGGGATCTTGCTACGTCATCCAGGCTGGCCTTCACCTCTCTATGTATCCCAGGCTGGGACCTTGGGCTTCTTAAGCTCATGTAGTCTAGGAGTAGTGGGAGGATGGCAGAGGGTGTGGATAAGGTGCTTCTGTCTGAGTTCCTCACTCTGCCTGCCTTGGGTATCCTTCACAGTGAGCTGGGGACCATCCTAGAAATGCTGAAGCCTGCATCTTTCCTTGGTACTTACACAAAGGGCATGTGTCACTGAATCACTACAGTGGGGAAGGATTCTCAAAAATAAGACTTGGTGGTTAAGCTGCAGCATTGCCGGAGAAGATGTTTGGTGTCTGTTGTTTTATCTTTATCTTTTGTGTGCACATAGTAGGAACATCTGCCTGATGAGTGTCACTGCTGTGCAGGGCTCTGTGGGGTACACAGAGATGGCCATAAGCAGGCCTCACTCGGGCAGATACCCTTAAGAGCGGCGCAAGGAAACTCTCTCCTGTTCTCTTCTAAAGATTGGCTCTGGTTAAACTGGAGGCTCCTTTATACAGATTTTTTAAAATGTAGCTCACCGTTATGAATGTAATCATTCTGCAGTTTCCTTTAGGAAATAATGACAATAAAATAAGTGGAGGAAAAACTCAATATTATCTGTAATAGCACATCCCCCAATGGTTGGAAGATCACTGGCAAGTTTTCCATTTTGATTAACTTGAAATGGATGGAGCCCCACTGGCATTTTTTTTTTCATGAGTAATATTGCTAATGTAGTATTTGACTGAATACTTAGAGTTTTCTAATTTTGTACATGTGCCTCAAAGGACTTAGGCTAATGGCTACATTTTTAATAAATCTTATGAATGTGCTGAGCAAATGTTAATAATTGTCAATGCATTGCAAGCACAAGGACCCGAGTTTGATCCCCGGTACCAAAAATAATAATAATAATAATGATTGTCAATGCAAATGTGGATTTCAAGCATAATGGAGTTATGAACCAAGATTTTGGCTATACTACATTTATAACATATAGATATAGATAGATAGTTTGGGAAAACAGCTTTCAAAGAAAGGTACATTTTGCTTTAGCAATAAAATAAATGTATTTACTACAAATGTTCCTAGGAATAGCAAGATCTCCAATAATTAGTTGTCAAATGTTTGAATAATGACCACAACTTTTAAAATCTATGGAGTAGTGAAAATTATAGGAAGTTCTTCAGTAAAAAATTGCTAATGTTTTATAATTCTTTTATTTTTGCTGAGTACTTACAAGTATTCTTAAAATAAATCTCTGACCCTAGCTGATCATCCTAATAAAATTTGCTTAGAGAAAACTGTAGTAGGTAGTCTCTCAAAAATATATCTTTCAGCTGGGCATATTGGCACA